GAATAAGTAGAAATATTAAAATGAAACTATTGGATAATTATGAAAATAATGTCAATTAAATAAAATAGGCAGTCAATGATACTGAGTTTGTTCTTTATGAGAATATTCTGTCAAAAAAAACTAGTTTTAAACAAATTTTACTTATTCAGTTTATGAACTACTTTGCCTTTAACACATCTACTGCAAAGATCTTTGTAAATACAGTCAAACCTCAATTTAATACATTCATTTGTTTTCTCTCTCAAATTGGCTACAACAAATGTGGAACTAAACTGAAAATCTTCAAACAATAAGAATTATGTACAGTGGCAAAGCTTATACACAGATTTGATTTTGAGACTTTAAAAGTCAAGTGTTTTGGTGATAATGCCATTTTAAATGCAAAATTACACAATAAGTCATAGATGGTGAAGGATTCTCTAATATTTTATATAAAACATCTGTTCAAAGTATATATTGATGCTTTATAAAGGTGATGCTATTTAGGTATTAATGACTGTTGTGTTTGTAACTGCTTTTTTTCAGTTTTTATTTGAATATCTTGAAAGAGAAAAGATTAATTTTCATAACTTTGAAAATATAAATAATTAAGAGAACTTCATGAAGTTCTCTTAATTATTTATAATTTGTACTTGAGCAGTACTGAGCTATTTAATACATTTTTTTCATGTTCAGCAGAGAGGTAAAAGAAGATACTGGAAATTATACAGTAATAATGGAAATATTCATATTCTATTCTTTCTATTGTAATACAATATTGCTTTTTATTTAAATCAATACAATATGTTTTGATTAATTGGGACTTCTGTTTATTTGGGAAATATATTGAAAGATGGAAACAAGAGAGATAATATAAGGCAAATTTACTTTGCTTATTTGGGACATCCTGCTGCTTTATCAAGGCAGAATAAGCAGCAAAAAGAAGCATATGGTAATGGGCTGGTGTTAAAAACCAAATCAGAACAGTTAGCTATAAAAATGGGTCATGCAAATTTCAAAGCTACAGATGGGTGGTTATTGAGATGGAAACTAGAAACTAGACCTGAATAAAATTTGAGAGAGCAAACAATGAAAAACAGTGGACATTACAAGCACCAAAGAGTGAAATCAATTAAGTTGCCTGAATTGCTACAGAAATTTAGTCCTGATCAAATCTACAATGCAGATGAAATGGCTGTTTTAACACACTATCCAAGATGAAAGGTGTCAAGATATTTTTGCAGAAATTTATCAAGCATAATTGTTCTTTTTTTGTTTAATGATTATATTTTAATGTGTTATTTTTGAAATTGAATTTATTTATTTATTTTAACAAATCAATAGAAAAGTCCCAAAGGACAGTTTACATACTTGTATTCATACTAAATATTAATTATTTTTTCAATGAATGGTTTTTATCTTCATTGCTCACATTTTTATCTTAGATTTTTGTCTGTTCTCTTAAAATTTGCTTTATTAGGACAAATTAGTCCAAGTCCAATGTGTCCCAATTAAGCAGAATCAACCATATTAAAATATTATAATTATTTGTCAAAATCCTCTCCTTACATTTTTATAATGATATAATGATAGAAACATTACATTTTACATTATTTATTGTTAGTAAATTGTATCCTACTCAGTTAATCTTGTATTTAGTGCTATGTAGAACCAAGATGAAAACAGTTATCAAAAAACCTGTTATGTGCTGTTATTGTGTTTTTTTTTTTATCAGTATTTAAGATTTTTTTGAGTATATGGCACATGTTTAGTATGGTAGATTTCTGTAATGTTATTTATGTGCTGTTGTTAAGACAATGTTTTAAAACTTTTATATATTGTATGTGGTAAATACCTAGGTAAGAAAAAAATCATCATAATAAGTACCTTATCTATATTCTTTGCAGATGTTTTATTTCATGTGCAAATTCTAAATACTTACTAATTTTTCAGTGTATTTTGATGTTGTGGGTGTTTACTACAACTATGTCTATGATGTATGTGATTTTCTCTTGTTTATCAATGAATATGATGTCTTCTTTTCTGTCTGTGATTACAACTTGGCCATAGTATACAGTTTTGCGTGTGTTGTTTTTTCAGCTTGATGGTGATGTGTATTTGTAGCATGGTAGCCGGGTGTGTATAATTGTTCGTATACAAGCCTTTCGTGTATTTTGTTTGTTTAGTTATGTCAATGTAAGTAATCTGTTTGTGCTACAAATTTGCAACACAATATGATATGCTGTATAGGTTCATGTATGATAATGTATCATGTATACTTTTTATAATTTTTTTGTATTTATGACCTGATATTGTAAATACAAATATAAACATCCAATAACTCAATTTTCAATTAAGACCAAATGACTCACTTTATTATAATCATGCTATAACATAATAAATAGTAGTCATATTATAGCCCTATATAATCCAGCTTTGTTTGGCCTTAACTGGTATTGTATAGTAATATTGAATCCTTCCAGCTCACCACAGAGGCATCTCTAAACTAGTCACAATTTGATGCAGTTTTATTAACATGATCCTGGTTAAGATCATTAGATGTCTATTGTATTATCATGGAAGTCCTTCTAGACCCAAGATTGTTTGATTGTGTATGTTTTTTGTGTATTGTATTGTATTATATTCAGGTCAATTTTGTGCAGGTTTAATAACAAGTAGTAGTAGTAGTAGTAGTAGTAGTAGTAGTAGAATGCATGGAAACTGTAAAGATTGTAATTTCTGAATAATGTTTTGAAGCATGGAGTGAAAGAAAAAAACATCTGGCAACATCAAAATGCAGAAGCTTCTAGATCTGGCAACACTGAAACAAGTTTTGAAAAGGAACATGTGTGAGCGACAAAAATAAAAAGACGAGAAAAGAAAATCATGGAACAAACGAAAAGGAAATATGAAGCAAGCTTCAAGTTAAAAGTCATAAAAAGGCTAAACAATCAAACAACTGTGCTGCAGCAAGGGCTTTCAATATAACAGAGAAGATGGTAAGAGATTAGAGAAAGAATGAAGATGCTATTAAAAAAATGCCAATGAAAAAATGTTTTACGAGGAGAGGACTAGCTTGCTGGCCAGATTTAGAAGATAATGTTGCAGAATTGTTATGTTGTTACAAGAAACATGATTAGGGCTTATGCATTGAAGTGGGCATGGGCCAATCCAGAACAAGGCAAAGAATTTAAAGCAACAGTAGGTTGGTGCGATCGTTTCATGAACAGAAAAAATCTGGTAATACGACAGAAAACAAAAATTGCAAAGATATTACCACAAGATCTTGACCATAGAGTCACGAGTTTTCACAAGTTTGTTACTGGTATGAGGCAAAAATACAACTTTCCATTATCTAATATTGGAAAGATGGATAAAACATCGATGAACTTCAACACGATAAACAATAGAACTTTGGAAACAAAAGACATAAAAACTGTTCAAGTCAGAAGTACAGGCTGTGAAAAGACCAGGTTTACAGTAGTATTAACATGCATGGCAGATGGAACAAAGTTAAAACCCATGGTCATTTTCAAGAGAAAAACTACTACTAAAATAAAATTCCTGCCAGGCATTTTCATACATTTTCAAGAAAAGGGGTGGATGGATGAAAATAGTGTAAAATTGTGGATGGAAAATGTGAGGCAGAGGCAACCAGATGCTCTATGAAATCAGCACAGTTTGTTGGTGTGGGATATGTTTTGCAGTCACGTAACTGAGAACACTAAAAATCATTTAGCACAGAACAACACTAAGATTGCTGTTATACCGGGTGGTTTAACTTTGATGCTACAATCTTTAGAAGTGTCTCTGATTAAATCATTCAAAGATCACATGTGTAAACAATGGAATGACTGGATGATGAGTGGTGAAAAGTTGTATATGAAAGGTGGAGCTTTGTGGGCTGTGTCACTTGATGTGCAGTGTGATTTCATGATCAAATCATGGGAAAAAGTGAAAGTGGAAACAGTGATCAAATCCTTCAAAAAGTGTGGAATTTCTAATGCCATGGATGGCACTGAGGACGATTTGTTATGGGATACTGATGATGAAGCAGAAATCGACTTGCTAGGTACAGAATTGGACCCACATGACAAGCTTCTCAACAATGAAAGTGAGGATGTACTTGAGGAGATATTTGTGCCTTAGATGATAAATGCGAGAATTTTTTTTTTTGTATCTGTCCTATAAGATGACCCCGGATTTTGGGGGCCTTTTTTTTATGATTCAACTATCGTCTTATCTGTGCAGATATACAGTAAATAAAATTTTAAAAATCTGTTAACTAAAGAATTCTCAGACACATCTCTTATCATTTTACAGATGATTACAGTTAAGATAAATGAGAATCTATAATTAAATGTACATTCAAATTGCTATTATTTTAAGATTCTTTTTATCCAATGGTCACTAAGAGGACTTTTTAAACCATATCCATTGTGGGTTCAGCCAGGACAACAATGGGGTGGCCAACTAGTGAGGGACAAAGTTTGACATATAAGAGACAGACTGTCCATAAAAAATTCTTTGATCCCAAAACTCCACAGTAGTAGTCTGACAGCTTAACCACCTTGGCCATCCAACTATCTGAATATTTATTTTTAACAAGTAATTTATTCTTTTGACAAAATAAATAAATATGTACAAAATTAAAATCTAATCAGTTGAAAATGAACACAAAAAATATATAGGATTACAAATCAATGAAACCAAAATAAAATTTGTTAAGCTTACAGGCCAAATACTATCATTTGGAGTTCCTAACAAATCAACAATAAGTTCTAACTGATGAATTTCTGATCTCCCTGGTAGAAGTGGTTTATGTAATAGTAATTCTCCCAAAATACAACCAGCTGCCCTGAAATTAAAATGAAAGAAACTAATATTGAAATTTCATTAATATTCACTTAATGTTCATAATAAATAATTTTAATAAATTTATTATTACATAAATAAATAAAACACTCTAAAATGAGTAATTATAAATATACATAGCCTATTTAAATAAATTTTAAATTTAATACAAATATAATATAAATACTAATAAATGATTCCATGAATAATAATAGGAATAAACTGATTCCAAGACAAACTCAAATGACAAAAGTCTATAGGGATAAAAGATTGTATACTGCTTTACAACTTTGCAATCAATTTTTATTTATTTAAAAGAAACAGAAGAAAACTTAAGTTTGCAAAAATAACATGTAACCTTTATTTTCAGTTTACAGATTATGAAATAAGGTCAGCTTCAATATTTATGAAACTGTATAAACTTTTCAATTATACATGTAACTGCTTATCATGTAATTTGAATAAATTTGTGAAAGTGCAATACACTAATAATATTTATATCTTATTTGATAAAATTGCCAGGATAATAGTTGTAAAATTAATAAATAATTTAAGAATACAATGACGAGTCTTTCAATGTCCTTTCTCACTCTGTCATAAGACTTATTTTCCCGAGGAGTGAGAAAAGATGTTGAAAGACTTGCTGTTGTATAGTCTTAAATTGTTTATTAATTTATATCTTAAATATTTTAATAAAATATAATCAACACTATACCTAGTGATGAACAAAGCAAGTAATAGAATTTCATTGAAACTCAAATAATTTTTAAATAAAAATATTTATTTGAAATTTATAAATAAGTAAAATGCAACTGCAAAATTCTCAATTATCTATATATTAATTGAAAGAGGGTTTCAATTTTTGAACTTTGAGTAAACAACTGGGGCTAAAAATATGGTTCAGGTATCCACTTAAAGCTCTTATCCTGTAGATGATGCTGCTGAAGAGAGATTTGAGAAAGGTACAATGGTTTAGGTGTGGGGAAGTGGCAAAATTACAAAGTCTACAGGACAAATATGTTGGGAACTCATGCAAGTTGTTTGACTTTACATTTTGAATGCAAAAAGTCAGTAGTAGAAACAACTTTCATTTTAGTGACTGTTGCCATAATGGAAAAGTAAAGTTGTATTTCATCCATTCTCATGAGGTTCTTGAAAACTTTCTGCACGGAAAAATCTCAACTACTCAAGAATATGTTGCTAGGTATTCTTGAGATATCCAATAGAATTTCTGCACATGATTGAGATGAGTGGATATCAACCACACAAGTTAACATTAAAGATCAGAATTGTAATCATGTTCACCATGAACCTCGACACAAAAATAGGGTTGGCTAATTAATGGAATAAGATTAGTTATACAAAGTATGTTTAACAACACAATTAACATCGAGATCCTGATGGGCAAACACCGCAGAACCATTCACATGCTTCCTCAAATACTACTAACTTCAAGAGAGAGCATTTTCCTTTTACAATTAAATGACTTCAATTTCCCATTATCCTGGCATTCACTATGGCAATGAATGAAAGCTAAGTAAGGACAGATGCTTGGTGAAGTTGGTATTTATTTAGCAGAGCTGGTTTTCAGTCATTATATTCTTTGTGTGACTCTTTCCTGACCCAGAGAAGTAAAAGCTTCTATACCTTTCAAAATATTCAGACCAAATTTGGTATGAATATTCTTCAAAACCCTAGGAAAAAACTGTGGGATCCCATAATATCAACACTCAAAGCTGTACTATATGTATTATATATAATATTTATTATTATTTAATAACATTCCCTATTAATTTTGGCTCAAGCAATTTTTTGTTTTGCAGTTTNAACACTCAAAGCTGTACTATATGTATTATATATAATATTTATTATTATTTAATAACATTCCCTATTAATTTTGGCTCAAGCAATTTTTTGTTTTGCAGTTTCATTATCGCAAATACTCAGATCAATAAACAAATTTTAGTTACTAAGACCATTGCTTTTATCACCTTCTCCCAACCCAACCTCATCAATCCTCCACCTCCTCAAAAGCCCAAGAAATGCAAGCACATGCGGCTAGTTATTATTATTTGTAGTTTGTTTCTTTTCAATTTTTAGTGATTTTCATGTAAATCTTTTTCAAACATTAATAAAATTACCCACCTCATAGTATAGCATTTTTTGAAATTTAATCTTTATACCATCTTTAAAATTCATGTGGTACATAAAATAATATTATGCTTAGTTTTTTATTTTAGCAACCCCACTTAGATTTGCCATTCCTGTACATTATGTATTATATATAATTATTATTATTATTTAATAACAAATTCATGATAAGTCAGACTTTAATTTGGAAAGTTTTTGTAGTTTTTGACCCCATCTTGCATCTCTAAAATGTTAAATAGTACCTGGAAAGCCTAACAGAGAGAGAGAGAGAAATTAATATCACTCTATCCACATAGTGTGCTGGCCACCTCTTCTATATACTCCTTTCCCAATGAAAACTTAAGTTTTATCATTTTTTTAAAATAAGAACTGATTGCAGAAGCTAAAAATAATTTGTATAAAACAACTTTCATAATATTAATGATAATGAAGACATATATTGTTTTGTCCAATAAAGTTTTGTACACAAGCTTTTGTTTGTATGAAATTTTATCTGCATAGGCTTTTGTACAATTCAGTTTTTATCTTTGTACTTTAGCCATTTGAGTATCTGTCCAAAATTTTATTAATTTGTACAAATTATTTCTCACTTCATGATGTGAGAAATAAGATATGCATTTAATATTTTAATTCACTTAATGCTTCTTTTTCATATAATATTGCTTGATCTTCATATTAGACAGCAGGAAGGAAAATTCACTGAGTATGGCATTATTAATAGCTTTTTATATTGCTAGTGCTTTCAATGAATCTATGTTCATTGTTTTCAGGCAAACGAAAATTTTTAAACACACATTCTTTTTTCCAGTTTCAGAAGGTCATATTAATGAAAGTTTAATATATATGAATGTAATAAATGTAATTAATTATTTCTTTTCAAACATGATATATGTCATTAACATATTGCATCTCATTGTACATAAAAAAATTATAAACAAAATCACATATAGAATATAAAATCATTTTAAAATATTGTATTTTCTTAGTTAATTATTATTATTTTGTAAATTTAAAACAATACTCCAGTTTTCAAATTTGAAGATATAAATGAATTACTTATTTTATTTCTTATATACTTACCACATATCTATAGCTGTGGTTTGAGTTTTAGACTGTAATAGCAGTTCAGGAGCTCTATACCTAATAAACAAAATGAACACAATTTTTAAATAATTATTAATACTTTTTATATTATTTTAAAATGAAAAAATAATTTTACCATAATGTAACTACTTTAGGAGTCATTGGTTTTACAGGAAGACCATATTTTCTAGCCAGACCAAAATCAGCTAATAAACAGAACTTAATGCATTTATGTAGCTTACAGGGTTTTTTTTATTAATATATATCTTCTATCTTACCAATTTTTAAGCACCCCTTATCAGTCAGAAGTAAATTGGAAACTTTCAAATCTCTAAAATTATTCAAAAAATTTTTTATAATCAATTACATGCCAATATTTATAATTAAGAATATAAAAATTATAAAATTATACGTTACCTATGAACAATAAAATTTTTATGCAAATACTGTAGTCCAGAAAATAACTGCAACATGATGCATTTAACCTAAAAGCAATTTCATGAACATTTTTAGAATGCAAATATTTAAATACCAAAATAATAATACTAAAAAATAAATAAAACTGNGCTACTCAAATATTTTACGTTTTTGATACTAAATTAACATCTGAAGTATAATTTTTTATTGTTTTTATATTTTTCAATAAATTTATTTTGTTTGTACAAAATAAAAAAATAATTTTTAACGATACAATAGTCTTCGTTAGGCTTAACATCGATGAAAATTCAACGCGAAGCGACACGCAACGGAGAGAAATTTCAACATGGGATAAATTAATATATTTTTTCGTACATGATTCGTTATCCAAAAAATAAGTTATCCGAACCACCCCAGTCCCCAATTGATTCGGATAAACGACGCTCTACTGTATATCATCTAGGGTTAAGGATTTTATGTCCAACAGATGGCGCTATGAGTATGACGCCCTAAGTTTGCTTTCCTGTGAGGCATTATGCTTTTCTGTGAAAATGAACTAAAGCGGATCATCTTCTATCTATTTATATAAATAAAAATGTAATGTTTGTTTGTTCCTACCGATTCCTTTGAAATTTTGACACAATGCTGCATTCAAATACGCATGTGTTTTTATATAATATACGTGTCAAAATCCCCCCGGGAGATGGACGGGATTAAGGCTTACCGTAAAGAACTCTGCTTCTATTTATACTATTTTAGATGCGGGTTTTTGCGTTTTTGATTGCATTTTAATAGGATACGTCAAGAGAATGTACACTAAGAAGAAATTTTTCGAAAAATCCCCCCCACAGGGAAAGTGTTATAAATTTATAATAGATACATTTTGAGCCACAACAATGCGTGGCGGGGTCTGCTAGTTTAAATAGAAAATATTAAAAGTTATTTGTATGCAGATGATTTTATCTTTAAAAGTGGCACTACAAGATGTACTCCATTAAACTGTTACAGTATATTTAATCTCCAAAAACATACCTGTAAACTTTACAAATATAGATACTGTTGTCAAGCATGCATAGATTAATTGTTTTCGAATTATTACTGTTTTATCTTAAAGTAAGAAACCTTCATTCAATGACTAAATTTTACATTCATAATTATTTCGGTATGAAAAGTTGTGATATCGGAGATGTCAAGTAATCATTCCGACACCAACAGCTGTAATAGTGGTGTCAAGAATTTTTATTATATACAGTTTTGCTATTAGTGCTAATGTCACTTTGGTTTACAATATTTGGTTTTCAAACACACACTTGGCAGTGCATTCATTACAGATCACAATTTCTTTCCCTGTTGCTTTAAAGTGTAAATAATATAACAATTCTTCAAACTGTTTACAATGAAATAAACTTTGAAATACTAAGTAATAAAATAAATCTGTAATGCACCACAAACTGTGCATTTGAAAATCAAAATATTGTTTTATTAAAAGTGACATTGGCACTGATACTAAAACTGTATATAATGAAAATTCTTGACACTATTACAGCTTTTGACATTGGAACAATAACTTGACATCTCTGATATAACAACTTTCCATACGAAATAATTATGAATGTAAAATAGAGTCATTGAATGAAGGTTTCATACTTTACTGTGTTTCTTCATGTACATCTATGATAAAACAGTATTAATAATTTGAAAAAGATTGATCCCTACACATGATTGATGGCAGTTTCTGTACCTGTAAGGTTTACAGGTATGTTTTTGGAGATATCACCGGGTTTTTCATTTCATGCTTTATAAACAGATACATTAGTTCCCTCATCTACAATGTGCATATTTACCTGTGGAAGGCCATAAGACGAAAAATGTCACATAAGGATTCTCCATAATGGACAAATAAATATAAAGATAAATTTTAAAATAATTCTTTAAATATATTTCAAATTATTATTTGGAAAAAGTGGCAAGGATTTAATTTTTCCAACAACATCTTCAAAATGGTATCTTTGGAAAATGCTCTAATTGGGTTGCAATTTGAAAAGTTGCAGACCTATAAATTCTTACCATTGTCAGTCTGTCTGTCTTTCTTTAATCTCAAGAATGGAGTTAGATAGATGAAAGCCAAGACCAGATATGGAAAGATTAGAGGCGGAAGGTCCCAATTAACTATATACAAACTTCAAATGCAAAGTGGAAGTCATGTTATTTCAATTCAAAAATTTTTTCCTGAAAGGAATTAGATAGATGATTGGCATGACTCTATTGTTAAAAGAAAAGTATGATGTACAGGGGAAAACCACTACTAATTTGAGGTGGAGAGCATATATTTTAAATGAAATAAATTAAAAATATGATTAAAAATTGCAGTCTGACATTGTGTCATTTAGACAAATTAAATATTTTCAACAAATGAAAATGCATTTATCTATGATCTTATCAAATTGTACAGTACCAGGTTTGACAGCAAATGCTAAGGAGACAGCAAAAGTGATTACATATACACTGCAGTCAATTTTATTTAATTGTTGCTGTGTACCCTTGGAAACTTCAGAGATGTCAATATTAATATGAGCATACAATCTCCATAAGAATACTTTGAGTTCCACAGATATTTTACCATAATTTACAGCATCATATATATAAATATGTTTTGTGTAATAAGAGCATAGATAATAAGAGAGCAATAATAAATTGTAATAAGAGTAAATCCAATGATCATTGATATGCATAATTTGTATATGATTGATATCAAATCTGACAGGAAAAAGAATTGTAGGATTTTTGATATAATTTGGTGGTAACATTGAATAATAAGTACAGTTTTGTAGAATGTGGACAAAACAAGTCATGCGCAAATCCTCTAATTTTCCATTATGTATAATAGTTGTTTTATCACTAACAGACAGTGTAGTAAATAAATGATCCATAATTTAATAAAACTAGAATAATGAAATCAAATCTCCAAATTTTTTCAAAATACAAATAGGTATCCAATAAAAAACAAATATGCAAATATTTCTACTTCCAATGATTTTAATTTTAAATGTTCCAAAGTTAGAGATGGGTAATTCTGGTCAGAACCACTTCAAACTCAAAACTACTAGAAACAGTCCCACATGGACAGTTCCAGTTCCAGAACTACCAATGCATTCTTCATTTTGTACTTTTACAAATACAGCTTTTAACAGAACAGTAAAATCTTTATCTGGATTTGAACATAAAACTAATTGACAATGTTCCACAACTTTTAAGGAATAATGAAATTAGTTTTGAGTATTTTAAATTTATAAAGATATTTTAAAAATTTATACTTTTATCAGAGTTCTTAATTATTTGTTTTTATTAGTAAACTAGCAGATAAATGCAGCATTGCCCAGCCAAAAAGTAAGAAGGATAAACATTAAAATGAAAATTATAAGTTTGGCTATTTTAACCAACCATTGTTATGTTTATCACAAAGTATCACGGAGATCAAATTGGGAGGAGAGTGAGGCATTCAGATTTCACAGAAGTCTATATTTTCCTTGGAATCAAGAGATTAAGTATAAAAAATTTGGTACAGATTGGGGAAAAAACCAAGAACAGAGAGAGAAATATTCTATTATATATATATATATAAAACTGATGAGAAATTGTTGAGTCCAACAGACTAAGCAGTTCNGGAATAGTTTCTCACTCGAATCAGTTCCAACGGTTCCAGAAGCGGAACTGGATTTTCCATGTCTAATTCATAGTTCGAACAATAAATTAGTATAGACTAATCTTAAATATTTAGGTTCAATATTGTGTTATTTAAAAATTTAAACTTTGTCAAAAAAAAAAAATTAAAATTAAAATGACATACATAATAATGTGTGTGCCCCTACTAGATATTTCATGAAATGTAACTTTTTTGACTGAAGGAGAAAAGAATTTTTAAGTGAAATGAAAAATATCAATGAAAATTGATCTCTCAAGAACAAATGGATGGAAATTGATAAAATTTGGTATGTAGGTTGAAAAAATTAGCAAATGATAATGATACTCATATTTTGTCTAGATGATGCATATATCTTTAGTTTTCTAATAAAATGTGAATTCAGATAAGCAGAAAGTGTTCTAATTCTAGTACAGTAAAGTTTGCTTTGTTAAGCTGTTTGTTTGTTTGGTTGCTTACTTGACGGCTTGCCTCTATCAAGCTTTATGATAGAATGTATCTTAAAAAACCAGTTACCACTTGAGAATTGAAAAAAATATCTGCATACAAATTGAAATTAATGAACAATTAATTTACAACAAACAATTTTAATAATTAGATTATAAACAATATTTAAACTTAGATTAAATAAATTTTCAATAAAATTCAAAGTATTAAGATTTATTACCATCTTTTTCTCTTTCCATCCTCATTTTCTTCATTGCAACTATTTCATTCGTTTGAGTGTCTCTTGCTCTATCTAGAATAAATATACCATAAAGTTATGTATATGTTAGTTAACAAATTTCAAACAATGAAATAATTATTCATTTAAAAAAATTTTTTAAATATTTTTTATTTTAATAAAAATATTAATAAATTAATATATAGTTTCAAATTACTGTTTTTAAAACGAATCTTTTAAAAAAGATTGTAGATTACTTGGATAAAATTCAAAATGTTTAAATAAAATGTTAAGTTTTATATTTTTTCTCTTTTTAAATAAAAATTTGCATTTGAAAAAACTTTTTGACATGATTAGAATGTATTATACTAGAACATTGTGCAACTTTGTCATATCACAATAGAATTGAAGCCAAGCCAGAAGGAAAGAAGCAATCTCTGCACCTGTTAGGCACAGAAAAGGTGATCCTTGTTCAGTATTTAACAGATGCGGACAGGTGAACTTTGCTCTTGCTGCCACAAAAGAGACTATCCTCATACCTGCAGGCCACAAGAGACACGATCTTTGCACTGGTCAGATACAGAGAGATGATTCAAGAACAAAGCAATCTCCATTGATTGCTTTGTTTTTGTGTTTTGTTCATTTTTTGCACTTATTTTCCATTAGGTATAGGTAATATTGATTTTATTTTAGGCCTAAATTCTGCTAGCATCAGAGAGCATGGACATTATCACTGAAATACCTATGTATATTGAAAACAAAGTCATGGATTCCTATTTTTACTTTCCTGGCTTTGTTATAGATAACAGAGGAAAAGTTTGGAAATCGGTCAAAAAACAATCCCAATGAATCCAGGAAAATTCAGGGACTAGTCATCACCTATTCCAAGAACAATTTTGAGCCTTGTAAAAGAAATGCAGGTCACCTGATAAGGAGACAGGGTTTTTATTGGATCTTAATTAACTAGGGGCAGAACTGAGAACTTTTAAGAATTAAACAATTCTTCTGAGAATTGAGACCATGAAAACAAGTAATGAATGTAATTCTTAAAAATTATTGAGAATAAAGTAACATAATGCTGCCAATTTGTCTTGTACACAATAGTTAGTAACTAGCTGTTACTGAGTAGTTGAATATAAGTTAACATGTTGATAATTAGATTGAAGTAAATGGTTAATTAGAGTATTCAAATTCCTTGAGAAGTTAGGTCACAAAATAACTCTAAAATTCTGTATTACTACAATGTGATTAGAATTTTTGATGGTAGAGTGAGACACTAGTTTCTGGAACTTGAATTAGCTTGTTTGCTGTTATGTGAGCTAATAAGGACCACACCCAAAAAATACTCAAATACCTAACACAAGTTCTTGGGAACTTTCTAAAAAAGAAAAAATTGCTTTTTTCTCTATTGAGTTTCTTAATCAGGTAAATAAGTTAGGAACATCTTGTATTTGTGGAAGAAAGTCTTAAACCAATTCCTAATTATTCAAATCAGTAATCTGAATGATCAATTTTAATAATTTGGAAATTTATCATATAGGCACAACAACTTTTCCCATCTCAACAGCAAATTTCCAAAATTTTTAATTTCTTTATTATGTTAAATATAGCAAAATAGAATATTTAGCAGTTTTCATTTAATATTTAGTATTTGAACAACTAGAATTATATATTAAATGCTTTTCATATAAGTTTATTTAGAATAATAATGGTTTATTTACAAACAATTCCATAGGTTCCTTCTCCTATTCTGTTCAGCTTTTCGAATTCAGTTACCATACGACATCTTCCCATCTGAAATAAAGGAAAAAACAGTGATTTGAAAATGTGCTTACTTAAAACAAAAATGTCCAATTAATATTTATTTTATCTTTTGTTAGTTTTTTAAAATCATAGTTAGAAACAGGATGGTCTAGTTTAATCAATCCACTGGAATAACTCAAAAAATATGCATTCTACAAAAAAAGTTCATTAAACCAAAAATGTTAACTTCAATAAGTCCACAAGATAGGTTTATCACAGTTTTATCACAGATGGCACTAAAATTTGTGAAAATGAGTTCAACTTTATTTTCTTAAAATGGGAACCCACATTCTTTATTGGATATTATGATTCTATATCAAAAACAAACAATCTTTTACCTAAAACACTGTTTTGAAAGATGCACTTATCAGAATTTATGAGCAGTTGTCACATCATGCATATGTAAATCTGTATACAGTCGACCCCCCTATAATTACGGTCCCTATAGTTACGATTCCTATAAAACTACGAAAAAATTGCTACCGGTATCCGTAAAAAATAGTAAAAGTTCCCTATAAACACCTCAAACGTCATCGGGAAGCCGAACTACTTTCCCGCCGTCCGTAGCGCCACGCTACGGAGAGATTTCTATCGTCTGGACAGTATTATATAAATTATATATAAATTAGGTACTGTACATATAATTATATATTAATTATATATAAATTAGGTACTGTATATATAATTATATATTAACTTATTGTAACTTTGTTATAATTAAATATATAATTTCCGCCGTCTAGCGTGGCGCCACGCTACGGAGATTTTTACGCTAACTATCGTCTGTCAGTATGTAAATTAGGTACCGTAAGTCTAATACAGTACTGTAATTTTATACATTTCTTGTGAAAGAAACATTTCTTATTCAACGGCGATTAAAATTATTTATATTAATGATGTCTCCGAAGTTCTACGAAGTTTTCACAGAAAAATAAGTTGTTAGAAATCGGCCGCTCTTTGCTGAGCTGTTCCGCGACGAAAACAATGTTGAGCAATGGCAATGTCGAATGGTGACACTCGGTAAGTAATCCTACAATTTTTTGTTTATAGCGTAGTTTATACGGATTATTCCCAAAAAATATATACGTATTTTGGAAATGTTGAGTTGGATTAGTCTAGAATCGATTAATTTTATGGAAGAAAATCTTTCAAACAGCCGTAGTCCGTAAACTTGATACGTGTCGGGTTGTGATTGGAAGGATTCGTAAGAAAGCGGATTCCTAGAGAATGGAACGTATCTCTATCTTATAGGGGGGTCGACTGTATATGTATGAAGTTCACAAGAAAAAAAAAATGCTAAAAATATCATCAGGAAACTATAATTTTTTTGTGGAATCAAGACCAACATCTCTATATCACAAGTTTGATGATTTCAACAGTGTGTGGCACTAGTTTTGCATCAGTTCATATTTTTCTGTAGGGTGAGTATTTTTCAAGTTATTCTAGTGGATTGATTAAAATGGACTATGTTGTTATAATTATGGAAATTTCACTCAATATATATATTCTCTAAAAACATAAAACATTAGCTTGAAAATTTAATTCCCAAAACTTAATAATCTTTATTAAAAAAAAATCAAAAGTGAATTAATCACTAGTATTTGTGTGTGTGATTATTAAAAACTTTTTCAATAAATATATATGTTTTTTTATAAACTGTCAAAAAACATTTTAAATATTGCCTATATCATGTTAAATTTTGTCTATTTGGAATAAAATGTCTAATTAAAAATTTACATTACTTAAATATCATTTCTCAATTAATTCATTTCTTTGAATATGATAATTGCTAAATTATAACTTAATATCATAACAGCTTCATCTGTAATAATAAATTAGAATACTCACTTTGGCAACATTCTAATATTGATAAATCTTATATTATACTAGCAGGTAGGTCTGGCGTTGTTTGGGCAAAAGTAACAATAGCAAAGATTAAAATTATTACGTTATTGTCAACCTTACCCGTTTTCACAGAATGCAAGAATTGGGTCCCCCTGTTTTCGGACTAATTAAAGAATTTTTAGATGGGTCTAAAAATATGTTCGATTTCCCACAAAACGAAAAAAACTGCATCAGCATCTTGCACGTCGCTTTCTCTTAACAATTCCATTGTTACGCAACACTTCCATTGTTGACACTTCCATTGTTGATGGAGTGTTAAGCCTTAATCCTGTCCCTCTCCCCCATGGGGAGGAATTTTGAAAAATCCCTTCTTAGTGTGCGTTCTCGTGACGTACCCTAACCCCTAACAAATTTCAACTTTCAACTCCTAACCATTTGGGCTCTGCGCTTATTATCATCATCATCAACCCATCTCGATTATATATATAGATTAATGACTTACACATTCATTAATATAAGCCTTTTAATTATTTAAATATTTTAGATTGTGGAGTGATGGAATAACTCAATGCAAAATATGGATGGATGCCATGGAGACGTACTTTCTAGGATTTTCTATAGAAAACTAGGCCTACTTAAGTATTAGACACCTGAAGAAAACTTGGAAAATACTATGTGGTCAGCACTGGTGAGGCACAAATCCATAACCAACTAATTACCAGTGTTCAATGGCTTTATGCACTCAGCCACTGGTGGGCTGATTTTAAAAATAAAAATTCAAGAAATTCAAATATTTTTATTGATCACACTATATAAAAATGTATAGTTTAGTTTATCTGATTAACCTCTCAGCAGTGGGATAGTCAGGTATGGTGCTATCCCTAAGTAGTGGAGAATAAACATAGGAAATTTTTTAAGTATTTTTCCCATGCGTTTTTTCTCATTACTGTTCTGGAAAAAGATTTTGTAAACAGTTGTCTAGTAAAAAAAAGTCTTTTTTTTTATTGTTACATAATTCATTTTTTGTGCGAATTTTTTTTCTCGTGGTAGTTTTTGGCGATACCTCCAAAAGAATTTAACGGATATATCTGTCCCTCACTGTCGAGTGGTTAATAGAATGCTAATTTGATCTTAAATTGTAAAATGAGAATAAAATTAAAAATAATTTATTAGATCTAATTTAATTATTTATTCGTATTTTTTAGTAGTTCATTTTTCATACTTATGAGATAACTCAACAGTAATATTCCAAATTTCTATTATGTTCTTTATCTTAAATGAATGAAAAAATTAAGATATAAGATATGTAATTGAAACCACAGTAACAGATTTTAAATAAACCTAGATCATTTATATACATCATTACAACTCATACCTCTGAATATTTAGTGTTAGTTGCAAAAAAACCACCTGTCAAGCATTTGTTTAAAATGACTAGTTTATGGTTAAATTGTATTAAAAAAAACTCATATCATCCTTTTGATCTGTAATATTTTGCAGAGAAAAATAATTCATATAATATAAACAAATACATACAATTTTTCTACATTTTTCTTCATTCATTTACTAAATTTATAATACTCGAATACTTCTCAAGATTTTCTTGATAGATAAATCATGTTTACAAAATAAGTGTAAACTCATTTGTATTAAAGTAAAGTAAATCAAAGCAAACATCAATGAAATTAAAAATTTATTTTTTAGTTTATTTTGTTTCTAGTTTTCAAATATACAGCAATTTATTTGATAAGGAAAAATTTGTATGAATAAATGTTTATCTGATAAATAACCGTATCACTTTTAAACAGCAATGGACAACAGGTGGCCTGCAAGATTGACTATGGCACCCCATAAGACAGACAATAATGACATATTTCAGCTCCTATTTTTTTCAATAATCACATTAAGTACAACACTGTTACAAAGTCTTTACCCCAGTTATAAAAATTAGACTAACCAGTTATAAGAACTTGTTAGTTCTCACAAGCACCCACTGTTTTCACATTAGCAGCGGTAAGTTAAAGCAAAAATATTTTAACATTATTAATGGTTTTTCAATCTAATTTCCATACATTTTATGTTTTCTTATAACAGTGCTGTGGAGAAGATGTCAGTTTGGTAGATTTTTATAGAGGATAGGCGGGGAATTACCTGTAAAGCGTGTCAAAGTGCGGCCCTCATCACTATAAACATCACATGCCATAGCCCTCAAGTCCAACAAAGTCGACCGTTGTCACTTTAGAGAATAAGTCAGTGTTAACAATAAATTAAAATATTTAACATTACATATTCTTTGTAAACAAATATATTTAATTTTTGGTATAAATGTAGCTCCTACAAGGCAGTTGGTCCTTATGAGCCGAAGACCACAGCTCAGGTAAGGTCAAGACCATCTCATTCAGAGCTGCACTTCTAATTCTTTCACTGTTTTTTCATCATTTATTTATTGATTTAGCCTATATACATAATAGTTTATTTCAATATATTTTACTTACTTTATTACACTTATATAAATTAAAAGTATAATTGATAGCACAAAAAATACATTATTCAAATCACAAGTTTATATTACATTCATTTATAATGCTTCATTCAAGAGCATCTAATAACTTACTAAATCTTCATCCTTTATTTCAAAAGGTCTTCTTGTTACAAAAGAAACTAGTTGATACCGTTCTAGGCGAGAAGGTAACGGATTTGACAAACCCACTCGACTCATCGGTATAAAATTTCTTCTTCACACGATACTTCTACTAAATACTAAATTATAAGTTTCTAGGCTATCAATCTCAAGGAGCGACTACTGTACACATGTGAATTTGTCAAACAACGCCATCTACCAAAAAATAATATTTTAAATAATAAGAATTGAAACAGGAACAAAATTTTGACAAAAATTGTTTTAATTCCGAAAATAAAATGAAGTTTAATTTTCCAGCTTGAAATTATCGAAACTTAAATCGGGAAAATAATACAGTTAAATTAGTTAAGGTGGAGCGTTAGCGAAGCCGCTTCTATATGGCCCAGAACTGCGTTTGTTCTCGAAATTTGATCGATCGATTTTGATGAAACTTTGCCATTTTCCATTAATAATTTTATTTTTATTTATTTGCAAAGATACTATGGTCATAGGTTTTTTCCATGTATCTAAAAGACAGTTACTAATAAAACAGTTGAAAACAAAAAGAAGTAAAACAAAAACATATATATATATATATATATTTTTACTCTTTCCGCCCTGTGAGCACTAAGAGGGCCTCTTATAGCAGAATGATTATGGGTTCGGCCAGGCTAGTGTTGCCACCTTTTCAAAATAGCTGACCCGGACGGCAGGTGAGTTTTGTTCGAACAGAAGTTCCTGACTCATGCGCAATGTCATTTTGCAATGAGAAGAATAACGTGCAGTGCATGCCGGCTCTAAATCAGTTACAGTTAAGGACTAGGGAGACTTGGGTAGGAGTAACGTAAGTAACAAAATTAAGAAAAAACAACTACAGATGACTTATCTCTATTGGATATTGGAGACGTGCACGAATACGAATCGTACAAGCAGAAAAAAAGGTCGACAGGTTGCGCACGATATTCCCGGACAAAATTAGTAGTCCACCCCGGACAGTAAGTCGATTCCCGGTGGCTGTCCGGGTGAAAATCGGACAGGTGGTAACACTGGGCCAAACCGATAGTGGGATGACCGAGTGGTGAGGGACGGGGCCCGACATATCCGAACAGACCATCCCCGAAAAATTTCTGGGGATTCCTTGACCCGTCCGAATTCGATCCCGGGTGCCCCAGAGCGGTAGGCTGCCACCTTGACCGCTCGGCCATTACCCACTAGTTAACCCACCCATCGTGGGTTATTCCTTTATGTGTGTCCCTAACGGTCATTGGACACGGGCGAGGACAATCTTGCGGATATGCAAAGCCGTAACTAGCCATTCCTGTGCCCTGTGCAAGAATTTGCATTTAGGCCCCTTAATTTATTCGGTTTTGGGAAAATAATAAAACAAATACATTACAATAGATTTTTAATAAGATTTATTTTAATTGAATTTTTCTGGCTTTCATTTCAGCAAATTCATTAATTACACCATCATAATTAATATTTTTAACGATATTGTATTCTATTGAAATAATAGAAATATTGGATAATCGTTCTTGTCCGCTAGTTGATCTTAAATAATTTTTTTATTAAGTTTAACTTGCTAAAACTTCTCTCGCACGAAGCAATAGAAACGGGAAGAGTTAGAAATATTCGAAGAGCGACATTGATATTTGGGTAAGACTCAATTAAACCAAAACCATGAAGAGCCTGTAGAATATTAAGCAGTTTCTATAATTTGTATAAGAGTCGTTACTTCAAAATTAAAAATTTCAATTTCACTTGTGAATTCGTACTTTTTTAAATCTTTGCTATATTTAACAGCGAGATCTGCAGCCGAATTCTTTAAATCAGCAAACTCATGCATTGTAAAGACGAACCACAGAGAAAGCAAAAATCGTCACAGATCGTTTTCATTTTTTCATAACGCCAATCTATTTGACACAATAGTGTGTCAAGAACACTGTAAATTTGTATTTTAAATAATTTTTCGGGTGTCAAGTTACTTCCTTTATCTGGCGTTTTATCTATTTCCATTACCTTAACTCTTTTTTTTTTTCATTTATTAAGAAATCTCTTTTCTATACTTTTTAAGAAAGAGTTTTAAGAATATGATCAATAATAGCATCTGTTAATATTGTTGCCATAAAGCTATATCATTTATTACTTCCATGTATTTATATATATCGAAGCGTTTTTCTGGACTATTTCTATCTTCTACTACTGAAAGGGGATTGCGTTTTCGCAATCCCCCTTTTCAGTAGCATTTTAAGGACTGCGAAAACCCCTTCGACGCCCTACGCGAAGATTTTATTCGGGAGTTACAATTTTCAAATTAATTCAGTAATTTAAAAAAAAATCCTCGGGCAGATTTAATTTTGTTATAAAATGTTACCTTTACATATTTCTAGCTCTGCACACTGTAGAAAAATCTAGAAATACAATTTTGTATATCGTAATAATATTAGTAGTTGCCAGAAAGCTCTATAAAGTATAGATAAATCTGTAAATTTGAAAACTATAAACATAAATTTAAATTTCTCAAAAAATAAATTAAAAAAATATCAAAAGTCACTACTTTTGGCTGATTTGTCTGAGGTCTCCGCTACCTCACTATGTCCCTCTAAAAGTCGCCACAGTTGGGAATAGGGTTTCTCATTTCCCGGTCTTTTGCTTGTCCCGGGATCCCGGGATAAAAGTGAACTGTTTCCCGGGAAATCCCGGAATAGAATTAATTATTTTTAAGGTATACAAAATATCTTGAAATCAAATGATATAATTATTTTCCATTTTTTAAAGTAATTTTAAAGTTCTGTAACCTCCAAAATCATATTAATAATGCTGTGTAAGGTCTATAGGCCTATAATAAAAATTACCTTTAAATAACGTAGAAATTTTCACAAATAGAAAAAAATTAATTAAAGTTTGCTGGAAACTGCATACAACAAAAAAAAAAAAATGTTTTGAGTTGAGTTAAAAATTAAAAAAAATGAACTTCTAATTTAGAAGGTAATTTTCGTTTTTTAAATAAAATATAATACAAAATATTGCAAACTTTTATAAGATTTTAAAAAGCAAAGATGGTCAATACTCCGATAACTCACTCTAATTCTTATTTTAGTAATGAAAAGTCTTGCCACCGAGAATGCCCTTTCCGATTCAATTGATGTGATTGGAATAGTGTTTAATGCATTTAAGAGAAGACAGATATTATGTGTTTTTTCACCTGTAGCCTGGAAGATTTCGAGTTCGTTTTCGAGGTTGTAATACTTCTTTTGCTCTCTAGTATTCTTCATTTGTCTACTTCGACTGCTTTAATAGAAACATCAAGCTTATAGCCCAATAATTCGTCAGTTAGTTTGTCTTTGATCATCAGGTTTATGAAGAAAAACTTCGTACTTACAGACATCGTACAACATGGTGTTACGCGTTATCAAAGCTATTGGGCATGGTTAAAAATTAAGACAGCATAAGCACAATTATTCCAGATATTACAGGTTCCAACAAGTAAAGAATTTTGAGAGTCATGACACAAATAAGCTATGTATTGATTATTGACCATTTGTGACATGCTATAATGAGCAAAAACTTAAGAAACTAATAAGTAGGTTTAAAATTGATAAATACAAATATATTCTGACAGTTTATGAGTTAATTATGCTTTCTATTTGCAAAATTCTTCAACCTTAACACAAAATAAGAAAAAAAGTGAATTTTAAAGAAATTTGCGGGATTTTCCGGGATAAGAAAAATTTCCCGGATTAAAAAAACAACCGGAATCCCGTTTGAGAAACCCTAGTTGGGAACACTGGTGAGCAGACATCTAGGGTCTAAGTAAGGCGAAATGTAATCGCCAAACTGCGCTGTAGAAAGATGGAAAAATTTTAAATTCAAAAATATAATTCCTTGTGAACAGCAGTTTGGGCCCCCCTTCCAAGTGGGCCCTGTGTGGGTGCATCTGTTGCACCTGCATAGTTACGGCTCTGCAGATATGCTTAACAATTTCACTGAAGATGAACTCTAATGTATTAACAACCAACTGGAGATAATTCTTAATGCTATTCCCAGTAACAATGTTTAACCAGTTAAGAAGGAAGAATGTATCCATGCCAGAAAGGCAGCCATCCAGATGTAGTCTTCTGCCCACCGCCATCCAGATGTAGTCTTCTGCCCACCAACTGTTAAGGATCATCTTGGCATTCAGGGAAAGAGAGAAAACCCTCCCCACTCATGTCTTTATTCCAACTTTTGCTGACATGGTAAAAAAGCCATCGGAACGGCCAAGCAGACCTACTAAACTTATCCGTGACAACTCTGCCATTCTGAGTGGTAAATCCAAAATAAAGCATCACACAGTGTCATTATCTCTGTAATCTCAACAAACAACCAGCCTAAACCAGTTCCCAAAGAGACCATGGCCTCCATACAGGCTACTGTGTGTCTCAAGTCACTGGGCAAGCCCCAGTGACTTGGTGGAAGGGATGAGATCACTCAAGAGTGGTGATATTTGCATAAACCTCCAAACAGAACAGGACACAAATTCTTTGAAATCTGCAATTATCCAAAATGCTGACCTATCAAAACAACCGAAGGTGGCGAAGGCCAAGAAAACTTCCCAAGACCATACTGATAAATATCCCGCAAGAAACCAATGAATCAAACAAATCAAGAAGTAATTGATTTGTTATACTATCAGAATCATTCAATAAGGAACACTGAGACTTAAACACATATCTCAAAAAATCTTTCAAAGACCTAAATCAGCCAGAAATAACTCCTATCATCACATAGTTCTCTCAGTCACTCCTAAAGTAAGAAACCTGATTACGGACTTAAAATTTATCTCTATAGACTGATGCTTGGTAATAGCTAATTATATCCCAATAATGTGCTGCTACAAATGTTGTGGACTTAGCATAGTCCCTGGAGAGATGTTCGAGAGACAGAAATGTAGTCATTGCTCAAAGAAGCATAGCTACAGAAAATGTACCAACTTACAGAAACAACTGAAATCATCAACTACAGCAAGCTTAATAAATCCCTGCCCACATAAACGAATTCCAATTGACCACATTTCCTTTTCCCATCAATGCCTGTCTTCAAAGATATAAAGTGCAACAACAAATATATACAACAGTTTATGAATAATTTTTTCATTCTCTCTTATCAGTCATGGCTGGAAAACTAACAGTTTACCTACTCTGCTTTCTTCTTTGTTGGATCATCAAAGGCATACTACAAAGGGCTCTCTCTGGATGCTGCAGATAAATCCCCAAAGGTCAAGGGCAGCCTCCTCAAAAGCTCTACACATTGCCACAGAAGACAGACAATCTCAATATCCAAGAGCCCTATGTAAGAAACAATAAAGTTGCTCTCTTTGGGCAACTTGTAACCCTCTCATCTCCCACAGACAATCCTAGTTGCTCAAGCTTTTGGTCAGAAATAAAAACCTCAATGCTCAATAGTTGTCTGAGCATGCCAATAGATTATACTCCACCTTGGCCATTGAGCTCCTTGATGTTACCATTCATATCATCTCTTTTTTACTGCCCCCAGCTGAAAACTACCCATCCTCTTCAGTATCTCTGGAACACTATCTCCTAGTTATTCAATAAAAACCTGTATGTATGTGGTGACTAATGCAAAATCACCCATCTAGAACAGTCCCATTGAAGACCCAAGGGGCACTATGGTCTCAGATCTCATGCTGGAAAATGACCCTCAATCAACTCAAGTGATTGGTCAACATTTTCTTCTGAGGCTGGGGAAAGGTGGATCGATATTTGTCTAATACGGTGGTGCCTCGTATAACGTACGTCTCGAATAACAGATGCTGCGAACAATGGACTTTCTGTTTGACCGTTACGTGACTCGAGCAACGGACTGGCTGCGAACAACAGACTTTCCGTTCGGCAGTTACGTGAGGCGAACAACAAACTTTCTGCGAACAAGTGTGAATGATATTTTCACTCTTTTGCTGTTGCCAATGACAATCTGCTATTTTTATAATATATTAGTGGTGTTATTAGAATATATTATTAATATATCTGAAGTACAGAGCTCCCGTTGGGATTCGGCTTGCGCCCTTGTTTATTATGTACATCACCTCAGTGCAGGGTATTTACATTTATTCAAGTATTGTGCAAATCATCGCTTCTAAAAAAACAGAAAGGGGATTTAAATTGAAACAATGCAAGAAATCATCAGAAGGAGTGTAAGTTGACAACAACTTCCTTGTCGAATGGGAGAGGTTCAGGAGTTTACCAACACTCATTATCCAAACAGAGCTGAGGCCAACAGGATCAATGATCTCTACGATGAAACCTTTGTCCGTCATTTCCGACAGGTGTTAAAGAAGAAAAAAAAACAGACCACCTTGGTCATGTTTTTCAAGAAGCCAGAGGGCAAAAAACAAAGGATGGAACAAGAGAAGTTGACCCTGCAAGTTCAGGTAGCCTCTCCTGAATCTGACTCCGATTAAAAAATGATAAAAAGCAACCTGCTGCAATGTGTAAAAAGTCTGTATCTGTATGAATGTGTGAATAAAGTGTTCCTCCACGTTCTCCTCCCAACATCTGACTACCCAGCATAATTGGTGACTATTCCATTTTCATTTTTTTATGGTACAATATGGTTATTTTATGCTGTGGAACGAATTATATGTTTTAACATGAATTTCTATGGGAAAATGCGTTTTGTATAACAGACTTTTCACTTAACGGACATGCACCTGGAACGGATTAAGTACGTTATACGAGGCACCACTGTATATACTAATACACTACACAAAAACATCTGTTATATCACAAATCATCAATCTGCAGTGATAACAATTATATTCTCATCCAGCTTCCTTGCTCCCCACTACCCAAAATGTGGAAGATTTCCACAAAAACCATACGGTCCAGCTATGAAAAAATAATAAAAGCAACTTGGGTCCCACCTCCCGTCATCTCCTTGAGATAAAGCAGAAATTGATCACACCATCTCTGTCCTCCAAAATAATCTTAGCAGAATATCTTTGCTCCACCACCAAGGTCTCAAATACTAGGCCTTGTTGGAACAATAATCTCAGCCTTCTCCAGTCATCTGTAAGGAAAACCAGATGCTGCTTCCGACAGCTGGATGGCTGAGCAGTCAAGGTGGCAGCCTACTGCTCTGGGGGGACCCGGGATTGAATCCGGACAAGTCAAGGAATTCCCAAGTATTTTTCGGAGGATGGTCTGTTCGGATATGTCAGACTCCATCCCTCACTACTCAGTCATCCCATTGTGGGCCTGGCTGAACCCATAATGGGCCTGCTATAAGAAGTCCTCTTAATGGCCACAGGGTGGAAAGAGGGTAAAAAAAGATGCTGTTCCATAGGACAAAAGATCCTACTCAGAAAGAAGCCCTCCATCAAACTTCAGAAATTTTGGAGTTACAAAACCTCTATCAACAAAGCCAGGAGTATTGTTTAGAGGAAGTTCTTCGTGTGGAACCAATCCCTAGTCCATGGCCTTATACATCGCCTTTCAAAAGTCTAAGCCTTCTAGTATACCACCCTCTGTTCGTTCCAGCTCCCTGGAGACCTTAAGCACTATCAGTGATACTTACCAACTCTTACTCTCTGAACAGTTCCCACCAGATGACCCCTGGAAGACTTTGATCACAATCATATCAGGAATCTTACTCAGACCATTAACTCCAGCAATGACAATCTTTTCTCTGTGTTTGAAATATCACAGAAATTCAGCAAAATTAACTACTGGAAAGCTCTAGGACCAGATAATATTACGGGTCTTATAGCAATCCACGCCTTTAAAGCCATCCCTACTACTTTCTACACCATTTTTAATAAATGTTTTGAAATTGCAATTTCCTTACTTTGTGGAAAATGAGCTCCATCAAACTCATTAACAAGAACAGCCGTACCAATTTTCCCCTGCTAAGGATTTTTGCCCATCTCCCTCCTACCAGTCATTGGGAAAGTATTAGACTCAAATAATACTTTGAATAATATATCACATTGAAAAAAACTTCATGAGCAACCTACCCTTGCTTCTGCAAGAAGTAAAGCCTAATTGATGCTCTAGCTAATATAATAGCCTACGTAGCAGGCAAAGAATAATAATTGACACACCAATGACGGTATCCATTGATTTCAAGGGTACCTTCAATCATGCTTGGTGGCCAGCTATACATGCTCATCTAATATAGGCAAAGTGCCCAAAAAATCTTCAATCTGTTAAACATCTACCTCTGTGATAGGGATGCTTAAATAATCAATATGACTATCCTCCATGAAATGGAAATCACAAGGGAATGCCAAGGTTTTAAGGATTCTAAGGATGGCCCATACCTCTGGAATGTGCTGTACAATACAATAGTATATTGCAGCAGGTGGGTGCTGCTCCTAAGGAGCTGTAACCATTAATCCAGGGATATGCTGATGACACCACCATTTTGTTGTCACATACTAATCATGATAGTCATCATCACATGAACAACCTCCTGACCAACCTCTACAATTGAGCTTGCAAGCAAAAACTAAAAATAAATTTAAATGTCAATGTATTATTTTTCCTTGAGGGAACCCACTTACTGGAAAGTCCTCCATTTCTATAAATGGCTCAAGGATTCAAAACTCCAACACTATTAAGTACCTAGGGCTTATCCTCAACTCCCAAGCTTTCATGGACTAATCACACATATTACATCCATGACAAGATGAAGGCATGCCATTCTCTCAGATCCATTTCTAGGATACATGGAGCTTGGATCTCAGGGCCAGCAAGCTCATCTACTTGGGGGCTATTGTTTATGGGTGTGAGATGTGGGGCCAGGCTGCTGAAAAATCCACAACAAAAAGAAACTAAAATCAATACAACATGCTGCAGCAATTCTGTTGCCAAAAGCTAAAGGAAAGCACCTACTGATGCTCTACTACTATCACTGGTCTCACCCTCATCAACATAACTATTAGAGAGAAAATGTGTAAGTACTTCTTAAATTCCCTAACTAAATCATGTTTGTCATGATTACACTGGACCTTTGCACCTCTTATTGTTTTTCTTTTTTATTGTACAGTACATTGTCAAGTGACTTCTCTTCATGTTGGCCTTCTTTAAGTCAACAAATCGCATTTCTTCTGTAATATACCACTGTAAATAACCGTGCGTAATATTTGTTTTGTATGGCTTTATAATATTCCTTGTAATCATCAGCTCTTGCATGAGATACTCTGAAACCCTTTGTTTCCATATAATGAAGGAACCCAGCATGGCAGTCATAGACCTCCATTCTTCCACTTCCAATCTCTATTTCCCATCTCCACTTTTCATCTCTACCCTACCTCTCTCCACTCTCTTCCTTATGGCTATACCATTGAGTGTGGCCATTAACCTCTTTTTCTAAATAAATAAATATAGTTACAGGTTCTGAAAGTTAGGAGGCAAAGATAATAAAGTTCAACATAGCAATCATTATGATGAAAGAGTTAAAAAAATTTGCAGGTCAACTTGACATCACTCAAGAGGAGGAAACTAACCATTCTTCAGAAATAACTTTAAAAGTTCATTCTTTGTTGAGCAGAATCTAAATTCAAAATCCAACATGAATGTTTCTACTAAAAAAATTGCTATTATTTATAATAATCAATTTCTCAAATTTTACTAAAATTGTGAAAACTACATGAAAGAAATTTTGACTGGTTGGGAAAAATAGAAAAAAACAATGACTTCTAATTGTCATATCTATTTTGTGTGAAAGCAATATTAATTATTTTTTATTATGTAGTACTGTATTTAGACATAACTACTTAATGTACAGTATGAGTAAAAATCATTTCAAATATTCATCAAGAACCAGTAATATTGATAATCAAACTTGCCATTTTTTTTGTGTATATGAGCAGGACTATACTTACACAAGATGCTTGGGTGCTTAAGTCCTTGGGACCTAAACACTACTAAGCTCTTGCAAGATTCCCTTCCCATTTAAAATAAAGTAGGGAATCCTGATTTCTTCTTGCATATGGGCATCAAGTATCTTTGCATAATCCTGATATTTATCACTGATTTTTTACAAAGTGAAATTTATATTTGCTTTAATTTTTTTTCAAAATTAACTTTATTTGGGCATTCCGTATCTGCATGGTCAAGGTTGGTTCCTTGTGCACATGTATATAAAAGTGGCTCTAGTTACTCAAATGTTACTCATTTTCCAATTATGGGAACATCAAATAAAAACACTTAATGTTTATGTTATTGGATAGTTATATTTTCATTATTTGAAAACAATAATTGAAATATGGGTATATTATTGAAAAATATATAGGATGTTTCAAAAATACAGGATAAAATTTCAGAAAAGGATTTCTCATATATGGAAAAGAAAAATAATTTATGACATGGGTCCAGATATGCTTTGGTTTGAAGTTATAAGGCTATACAGTAAGATCCTAGCATACCCTAATGCATTCATTAGTTCAATAAAATCCAAGACTCAAATATGTACATATGTACATGATAAAATGTGTAACCATGCCTAGATGAAATGATGTTAAACTACATTTGAACCCATTGGACTTCTTTTGGTGGAGGCATTTAAGTCTTTGGTGTATTCAACTGCAGTAAATGATGCCAAACTCTGTGAGCAAATTATGGCAACTTGACATTATGCCTGGAACTTGGTAGTGCATTTGGAATTTATGAAATAAGTTGAAGCCTGTATTCAGGCAGACGAACATTTTGAACACTAAATCTAAGGTAATGTGGTATTTCATTAATTAACTACAAAACAAAGCATTTTCAGACCGATGTTACTATAGCTTATTGTTATTCTCTATATGAGGAATCATTCCTGCAACTTTGCCCCACATTTTTGAAACACCTTGCACATATTTTTAATCATAAAAGAAATGAACTTGTGTATTTTTAATATAAATTATTAAAAACAATAATGCTAGAGTATCTTTTCATTATTTTATTTAAATCCATTATGTTGCATTTTGTTGAAAAAAAGTCAAACAGCACTCCTAATATACATACTTGAACATTAAAAATGAGTTTGTGATTTATGTTTTGTTTTTATATAAAGACAATTAATGTAAATAATGTCACCCATATTAATAAAATAAACATGATGATTATTACAAACATGCAGAGTTCATTATGATGAAGATTCATTAAAAATTTACAAAATATGCACATGTTTTCATATTTACAATTTTAATATGTAATTGTTTATCGGGTAAATGATCGAGCGTGCCTACTCTGATTGTCTCTTCTCCCTCTTGTCGAACTATTTGTTGATCCAAATCTGAAATTAAAGCTGTAATATGAAATAAAACATTTTTGAGTGCCAAGTTCATAAATAACAAATTATTTTAAAATCAAAACCTGTTATCTTGTGCTTTATTTCTTGCTTCGGCCCAATGTCCTTGATTACTTCCTAGTGTACTATGAGTATTACGTGAAAATCTTCCAGTATTCCCAGACATCGAATTTCCATTATAAGAATCTCTGTTCCTTTGCACCGACTGCCGTTGTTCCGTATGACTGAAAATATTACAGACTGACATATTGAATACTGAAAAATTAAATATTCAAACTGAATAAAATCTAAAAATACCTTCCACGTCCAAAAGTCCTCACATTAGAATTTTGTGCTTTTGCAGCAGTGCTTGAACTACTTCTACCCCAAGCATTAGTAGCTCCCCGAGTAGTTCCCCTTGTATTTCCAGCTAAATGTATATTTTAATAAATATGAAATTAGAGCTTAATCACTTATAAATTTTGAGTCATTGAAACATTACTGAAAAAATATTTTAATTCAGTAAAATAAATTACTTCGATTTGTATCTCTTCTATTATATGATCCCGGAGGACTAAAAAATCTACCTCCCCTAGTACTTCCAAATGCTCTCCCATTATCAAATCCTCGTCCCCTTCCACGAGATGCTTCCTAATTTTATAGATATAAAAACAATGTAAATTTTTTGAAGCTTAAAATGTATTTTTATATTTGTAATAATCAGTCTAATGACTTACTTTAGCAGATCGTTTAGTTGTGGAAGTAGTAGATGATGGTGATTGATGATGATGATGATGTTCCAATGCCAGAAAATCATCCACATGCATTGAAGGGGGCCGACTAGTATTGGGTGGTCTTGAACGAAATGGATCATTTGCTCTACTGGAATGAGACGTTCCCCGTCCAAATCCACGTCCACGCATTGGAGCAACTGGAATAATTATTAAATAACATTTAACATTTTTAAGAAAATTTTTTAAAACATATTTTAGGTTTATAATGCAATAATTTTAGAAATAAATTTAAATTCCCAGTTTCTTGTTCTAATTAAATAAATTATTTATTGAGAAAAACTTTCATGCACTTTAAACATAATTTTAAAAAAATGAATAAAACACATTCATTCTTTTTTTTTAAATACATAAGATTTCGTTGTCTGTCTAATTCCTTATTCCTGTTCCTTATATTAAACAAATAAAAATGCACAACCTTTTCCATTCTGAAAACAGTGTTTTTATCTAATACAGTAGAGCCTTGAAAACTCAGGACTCTGGATAACTCGGCCACACCCTGGCAGGGCAAAAATACCCTTAGATAATTAATTTTCATCATATTCAGCTTTATGCTTCATAAAGTATTTTTCTGAGGTCTATCTTATCAGGTAAATTACTGTACACAGAGTATTCATTAATTTTAATTTTCATGTAGTAAAGGCTCTATGCATTCATAAAGGACGTACTTTTCCTTTGTTTAAGGGTATTTGGGCAGTTTATTCTCTGTTGTATTCTCAAGTAAACAATACATACAAGTACAGTACAATATTTTCTGAGGAAACACGCATACTTATCCTTTTTTAACCCCATTCCTGATAACCCGGCATTTTCACAAACTCGGCCACCCTTCGGTCCACATTAGGCCGAGTTTTCGAGGCTCTACTGTAATTTTATTGAATGGCAACTCAATTAAAACATTTAAAATTTCCTAAGAATTCTAGGTTTTCTCAGAAATGTGAGGCATTAATAAATAAAAATGCTTAAAATCATAACAGGAAATTTAACACTGGTAGTAAGTGGTTTGGTTTGATGGAATATTATTTTAAAAATAATATATTTTTATAATATTTTTATTTTAAATATTTTAATAATAATTATATAATCAAAATTACATTTCTATTCTTACAATAATTTTTCAGTTTTTGATTTATAAGAAATGTAACTTTGACATTAATTATTATTATGTTACATAAGCAACATTTGTAATTAAAAAAAATTTTTTTAAGTCTTTGTGAGAAATAATTTACTTTTTTCCCTCTAAATTTACTTTTCCTGTTTCCTAATCACTTTTTATTTTATTGCAGGAACAGCAATAATTACAAATTTTTTAAAATTTTATAATAAAAGAGTAATTAGTAATACCATTTCTAATAATATTACTCTAGGTTTCTCTATAAATAATAAAATATTAATGATGTTAATTTATAAAGAAAAATATTCTAAATAAGACTTGCAAAATCCACATTTTTTGCTCATTTCAAATTTTTTGTTAATATTAAAAAAAGTTCCTATTCCATCTTCCAAAGTTTTATTGAAGATATTTGTGTTATAGCTTTTTTTTTTTTTTTAATCAATTCACTCTGTCTTTTGAATACAATAAGAGAAATAACTTCAGTTTAGTAAACTTTAAATACATATGCAAAGATTTAACTAATAAAACTGTAATTATAATATTTTGTTATTTAATTTCAAAAATAATATGGTTTAAAATCTTATTTTACATTAATTTATAAAAATTAATATCAGTAATAGTGTTAAGACAGGGTTAAGTTTACTGCTCAGAAATGTTTATAACAGAAAAACACATTTCAGTCACTGTTTTCTGTTTCCTTTTCCTGAATAGTGATACTTTACGTGACTAAACAAAATACCATCAAGTACCATCTAGAAACAAAGTCATAACACAAATATGGTCATTAATTTAGATATAACAACAATTCAGTATCTCCATTCAGTTCATTTTACATTATTGTTGGCTGCATTATCTAAATATATAAAATTACTTGTCCTGACTGACTGAATGATTGATTCATCATTGCCCAGAGCAAACCACTGAACCTAAAGAGTGAAATTTTGTACACAGTTAGAATATGCCATGAGAATGCACACTAAGAAGGAATTTTTGGAAATTCCCCCTGCAGGGGAGAGGGAGAGGGAGAGGATTAAGACAACCTGAAGAATGGCTTCTACTGTAATATTTTAGATGCAATTTTTTGTTTTTAACTAAGTTTTAGTAGGGTACACCATGAGAATGTACACTAAGAAGAGATGCAATTTTTTGTTTTCAACTTTTTATTGAGTACTTAGATGTATTAAATTGATAACATTTCAGACATTGTTATAAATATTTTTATATACAGTGAAAACTGCTTAGGCGACCACCTGCATTCGATGGGCACCTGTCAAAACGGGCAAAAATTTCTGGCACGGAACAGTTTATCCATAGAGTCTTCGTATAAGTTACCTGTATTAAACGACCACCTGTGTAATGCGACCGCGGGCATCGATTTTTGGTCCGAAACAACATACAACACCTGTAATAAGCGACCACTTTCGCGAATGTATCTGGTCTAAACTATTGTAAGAACCCATCTCAACAACGTTTCCACCTCCTAATATAATGAATTAGTCTAAACTCTCGTTCGAACCCATCCCGGGCACTTCTCCCACCCTCGAAATTAGGTGCAGGTGTTAATAAATTAGTCTAGCAACAAAGGAAATTCATTTCAGTTTGTTGGAAAATGTCCGAAATGCAAAGTGCTGTCGTTAGAAGATCGTATTAAAGTTATCACAACAGCAATTAGCGGCGAAGTTTAACTGTGGGAAAACAAAATTTATTTTACCCTAGACCTACAGTATTTTCCTTGGGGGTGTAAAATATTGTACACGATACAATTAATCGGCTGATCTCATCGTTTGATAAAATCTATTTTTATTTATTTATTTTGAAGCTCATATACAGTACACGTGCGATAAATAGTTTCTGTATCAACCTACCTTATTTCCACGATATTTTTAGAAAAATAATATCCAAGTAATTTTCGCAGGCAAAATATTCAAAAAACAATAAACGCATTAATGCAAAAATCAGTTTTACTTCCTTTTTCGATTCCGCGATTGTAATGAAATCGTATAATGAGAAAAAATAATAAAATCGTTTTATTATTAATTAATAATTTTTCTTATTGTACTTAATTAATTAAGAAAATATTAAATATTAAAAAAATACAGTATTTTTAAAGTTAAAATAAGATTAAACTAACGAAAACCAAAAGCAAAGTGATGGAGAGATAGGACGCGCTTGTATATTGATGACGTAATACACGTAACTGAGGAGCGAACGAAAAGAACCGAGTCGAATTAATTAAGTCGGAAAAAAGAAAGTGTGCATTATAATCGAAAAAATGCGACTACTGTATTAATCTTTAAAATATTGGTGTTAAATCTGTCTTATAATATCATGACGACTCCTCTAAATCGGTTATCCGATAAGAATAAAATACAATACCAATATAGCCCTATCGTTGAAAAAATTTGCTTATTTTTGCTCGCCTCAAATTTTGCTAAGTAGAAATGGCTAAAAAGTGCGCAAAATACGTACGGAAATACGGTATTACAGCACCACCTGTATTGGACGACCACCTGTCTAAAAGACCACTTTTTGAAGGAACCGTGGGTGGTCGCCATAGACAGGTTTTACTGTATTTTGATTTTTTAATCAAATGTTCAAACCATTTTAAATTCGAATTTGTTATTGCATATTGGTTCGATTATAGAATGATTGTAAACGTTCCAGAAAATTGATCAAATTGAAAATCGTTCGTTTGATTCTCAGCAATAGGTGTTATATAACAATTACTATGGTTGTTGAAATACTGAATATAAATGGAGTTTGTTTGTAAAATCTGCACAGGCAACAGATAGTCTATAAATATTTCTACTTTGATTTTGCTACATTGTGTCCTGTTTTCTGCAATATTGTTTGAATAATATGTTTCCAGTGATATTTCAACAACATTCACAATTGATCTAGCTGCCTTGAGTTGCACACAAAAACAGAAAAGTTGAGCAATGCTAAACTCTACTTTCAGATATAAATAATTCACTTTTTCTATCTTACAGTGCATTTTGCTCAGAAAGTATCTAGCATGTCCCTACCTTTAGGTTAAGATAACACTGATTAAGAAAAACTTGTTGTAATTTGACAGAATTTTGTCATGTGATTTGTAAAACAATTACAAATCTCTTAGAAGTTATGCGAGATTACCCAATTTTCAAGATCAATGTTAATTTTATGTTTAATTAGCTTTTTAAAACTGCTTCTTATTAACACAGTGGCACATTATAGCTTCATGGGGTCCAGGCAAACTTGAATTAGGGGATCCCATGTAGAATGTTGACTTTGGATCCTGGTATTCTGATTTGTTATCTTAAAATGACTTCTGGAGGGTTAAGTTCTGTGCTACTCCAGTGCATCCTGTACTGCACTACACCAGCAATCCAGGTTCCCTGATTATGGTCCAAACTTAAATTTTGATGTTCTTACTACAGTAATGAGTTTATAAAAGATTGATTTGGAATCCCAGGCAATTGCCCTTTTTTCCATAGGATAATGCACCACCAATTTAACAATAACTGCTAATTATAATATATATACAATACTTACTGAATGGTTTTTTAGTTGGTGTTTCCCCATTACTTGGATTAACAAGTGGATGGCATTTTCTTTTACTAATAATACTATAATAGAAAAATTTATTTGATTATATTTTGCATTATAACTTATGTACTTTTTACAAAATACTTATATAGTTTATCAATTTTATAAAAGTTTTACCAAGTTTAATCTAAAGTTAAAAGTTTGTCTTTTAACTCCAGATTAAAAAATTACGAATTAAAATTTTTATAAACACCAATAAATGAAAATCCAGATATCAATTTTCAATTAAAAAGATATAATTTCAATGATATAACTATCATTAAGATGATGATGTATAATGATTTTTAATGACTAATTAATATAAAATTAATTAATGTAATAATAATTATTATGTGGCCATTAATTCATTAGTTGTGTCATAACTCTATTAAAGTCAGGCAGTTCTATTTGTAATATTTTGCCATTTTTATATAAAAAATGCAATATTAATTATTCACTACAACCTTGTCTTTTCAAAAATCTACTTTCTAAGTACAACATTTAAAAAAATATGCTTTAATATTTATTTCATGCTATATATCAAGGATGGCCAACACGTAGACCGCAGTCGACCACAAAGGTTTTGAAAGTAGCCCGTGAAGCTAAAGTTGAACAATTTGCTTTCACTTAAATTAATGTTTAAAAATCTTAATTCGATAATTTATTCTTACAATAATAGATTGTCTGTGCAGCGTACCCATACTGTTTGTAATTATTGCGATGAACAATGCAAATGAATGTTAATGCATGCGCATATAAAAATCCTAAAATTGTTTGCCCATATTCATAGTCGCCCACAGACTATATTTTACCAAAAAAGTAGCCCCTCGGGGATAAAAGTTTGGCCACACCTGCTATATATTAAAGATACAAGTTTTTAAAATTACATATAATTACTGATTTAAACCTCAAATTTTTAAAATTAATTAAACAGAAGTGAAGATATTATATAATTGCAATGGTTCTGAATCATTGAGTTCATGAAAACTTTTACTGATTTACTAAAAAAAATAAAAATTTAATTATATTTAAAAAATGTAGAGCAAAATTCAGAATGTCTTTGTAGAATTACTTTCCGAATTATAAGAAGTGCTCAAATGAAACACAGAGTGGACCATATAATACATATGGTGTCATTGATCACTAAAACAGGATTACAGTATATGCAGCATAATGACAAAACTGTTAGCTGCTATAGGAAATCACTTTCTGCATTCAGACATGAGTTCCAACATGGAACCAGTCTGTATCCTTTGCATAGAAAGAGACACTTCTCATGGGAAGTTCTTCAGCATCCATCTTACAGTCCAAATATATTTCCTTGTGACTTTCATGTCTTCAGACCTTCAAAATTTATGAAAGGTTGCAAATTCCAGTGAAATTTGCAACCTTTTCTCTATGTTGTGTATAATGTAATCCTGTTACAGTGACTAGTGACACCATACTACTTATGTCACTAGTCATTGTAGCAATAGTATTACACAGTCCATTCTGTTTCATCTGAACAACCTTATATATTAAAAAAATATTTATTTCATATAAATGAATTGCAATATCCTTAATTATAAATAATAAAACTTTTTTGTTCACTCTATTTTACACACATTCTTTTTTTATAACTTGACTCTTTCTGCCCTATGGGTACTAAGAGAGCTTTTTTCAAGCCCAGCATGGGTTTAGCCAGGCCCACAATGGGTGGGAAAGATTGGATGGTAAGGGACAAGAACCCAACATATATTGGACACTACCCTTAAAAAAATTCCTGGTGTTTTCAACCTCCCAGATTCGATCCTGGGCCTTCCTGCTTTGGCAGACTGATGCCTTAATCACCTTGGTCATCCAGCTGGCTTTTACATACATTTTAACTAATTACATTTTTACAGTCAATATCCATTGCAACTGACACTCCACTGTGAAAAATATAGGAAAAATACTTCCTTATTTCTTCACTTTAGAGATGAGGATAATACTTTATTTTTATAAACATCCATAAATCAAAAGCAATTTATAGTTAAAGGCAAACACACTGCCAAATTAATTAGTATTTAATTAATTGTAATTAATTATATACTAATTATAATTGTAATATTATACCACAATAAATTTTGCAGTTTGTTTGGCTTTATTATCATTATCATTATTTACTCTCTCTGTAAGTATATATATTAAACAAAAATTCTTAATAAGTTTTTATTTACTGAACACATACCTAGTTTTCTTTTTATTTTTAACTTCAGTGTCTGTTTCAGAGACAGAAAGACAAAGTTTTTCTAAATCGCTCTTCAAGTCAAAGTCTGGCCAATACTTCTCTGATAATGCTATTAAATCCATTGGTATCTGAAAATAAATAATGTGAAATGTTATAAAGATAAAAAATTTTTCAAATATATTTATAAATGAAAATTAACCTGTTCAACTTCTTGATCAGTTTCTTCAGCACCTGGAACTGCTAGCCAATATGAAGGACTTAAACGTTCTTCATCAATTTCACCTACTATATAAACAGGACGGACAGCAAACTGGGCTGATTGGCTTTCTGCTGGAGGTAATGTTGGCTCCAAAATTTCTAAAATTACATAATAAATTTAATAAGATAGAAATATATATATTTTAAAAAGAAACCAATAATAATTATTCTTTTTTCACCTTTTTCAACTTTATCTTCTTCTGGATTACTCAGTAGTTGTATAAAACCACTGACACTTTCCAAAAGACTTTCTAATGCTTCTTCATCTGTTGAACATTCCTAAAATTTATTTAAATCCATTGTCTTTATCTGATATAATTTTATCACCATAATTGAATGTTTTTGATAATAAATAACTGTTTTATATACTGGTACATTTTAAAATCATAATTACAATTTTCAAATTAAAAGAACATTCAAACTTAAAGGTAATGGAATCAAGTTTTGGCCAGAAGAATGCAATTCTTGTTTGCTAAACTGTAGATTTTATCTTATAATAAGTATAAGTATTTTTAAAAATTACCTTCAATGAAGATTTATTATTTATTAAACAAGCTTATAAGTTACAGTAAATTTTGGAAATACCCATCAAAAATAAAACAAAAGTGATATAAAGATGACTGGTAAAACAAATAAATGCAATTTTGATTGTTAATTCATCTTAACATGTATATCATAATCTTGTATTATTTTTTAATATTTTATTGAAAAACAATATTAAATTAGAATTTACACTAACCAAAAAAATTAAAATTTTAAAAGGAATTATTTCATTAACTAATTTAATAAATTTATTGTTTAGTTTTCATCAAAATATTCAATCTTCTCTATAATATATGTATCTATTAAAATCATGGATAAATCAATACATAGATTTAGCATTAGCTAATTATTGCCAAACAATCTACCAGATTAGATAATCCAGCAGATCAGGCTATATTAAAACTAATAACTAATTAGATATAAATCAATTTGGCTAGAAATAGACAGTTAAGCTGCCATCTCTTAAAAAATTTAATAATTACAATTAAATTAAATTAATTTTAAATTTAGAATATCCAGAAAAAAATCAGTCTTAAGTGGGACTCAAACTTGCAACTTCTGCTTACTGTGCAGATACATTGCCAGTTCTGCTACCCAAACCTCCATCTGATCTTCGCTTCCACAACTATTAATTAATTTAGATATAACCATTCTGGTCACATATGGCACTGACTGGGGACAGCTTAGTATCCATGGCCTCTATGGCTCTCAGCCAACTTACAGTTTAAGCTTGTTGTGTACTGTATATATACTACCTGACATTTTTATATCAGGGTTAAAGCATAAGTTGGCTGACAGCCACAGAAGGCCATGGGTGCTAAGCCACATATAAATGGCACTGTAAATGACTGGTATAGTTATATCTGAATTCATTAATGGTTTCAGAAGTGAAGATTTGATAGAGGTTAGAGCACTGGTAACTGGCAATGCATCTGCATGGTAAGCAGGCATTATAGGTGTGAGTGCCATTACAGGATAATTCTTTTCTTTCAGAATATTCTAAATTTACAATGAATTTATATTAATTTAATTTTAATTATTAAACTTATCAAGAAATGGCAGCATAATTGTTTACCATTACCCAAATTGATTCAAATCTAATTATTGATAGTTATTAACCTTACTATAGCCCGATAGATATTCTAGCAGATCATTTGGTAATATGAATATATCAGGTAGTTTACTGTGTACTGTACAGTACATATCTAGCTAATTATAATTTTATCACTATTTATTCAATTTATAATGTAAAATTAAATTACATTATTTTCAATACAAATTTGTTTCTATTTGTATAATACTGGTTAACTCCATTTATATGTATTTACTGAATTTTAATAATTAATTAATTATCTAAATATAAAAATAAATCTGGTTAAGCACCAAAAACATATGAATGTAAAACAAGAGTGAGAGATGACTTGGGCACACAACAGATTGAGTTTATGCTTCAAGTGGATTTATTCACTATGTACACAGTTTGAACTTTGAAGCATCATTTGAACTCCAAAGCAAATTTTTGTTGAATTAAGCACTCAAACTCTGAAGCATTCAAAGTACAAGGTACCACTGTATAAAATATATATATATATATAAACTTGAGATGTATTGTGTAAAAATATATTAATACATTCACACAAAATGCATATCAAGTTTTGTGTTAAGTTTAAACTTAATGCCAAAAGTAATTCTATGTAATGTTTCCATTCAAGGCAAGTTCTGTATCATTTTTTTTTACTTTGAAAGAAAGAAATGCTTCTTCAAAAGAATAAATAAAATCAGTTTTCAGCTTATACCTTCAATAACAAAAATAGTAGTATAAATCGGATTTCTATTAGCAGGATCTATTCTCAATATTTGACATCAACCTTGAAATTTTAAAGTTGAGCAGAATAAATGCAGCAAAGAATGGTTTAATTCCTAAGAGTATCACACTAAGGTGGCTCCACACATTTGGTATTTGCCGAATAACAAGCAGACCTTTGACCAACACTGAATAGTGTGGATGATTTACTCACGAATTTGCTTAACAATTATTCAGTATTTGCTGTCTCCCACACTTTGTTGGTATATTGTGCTGAATCAAATCAAGGGGATGAATCTTGACCAAACATTCATAATTCCACATCAAAACCAATTCTTGGCAAATAAGCATAAGTGTGTACATATGTGTTTGCCTTGTGACAAACACTTCTGCAAATTCTTTGGCAAAAAGCAATTATTTGGCAATCAGTAAATGCTGAATGTGTGGCATCACCTTTATATGTATTACTTTGCCTGAACTACTACATCCTCTTAAGTATTCAATTATGTGTTTCTTTGTAACTTTAGTTTTAATTTAGAAAGAATGAACTAAGGATAAATTTTTACATTCTGTATAAAATATATGTATTTAATTAATTCATAAAATAAGATACAAGAATTGAAATAATAAAAATTATAAATGTTGCTATTCACTAAGTTTAAATCTTATATTAACAATCAATGCCTATAAAATTAAACTGATCTTCAAAAAGTTGGGTAATAATATAATTATATTTAACATTATTATAAATTAGTAAGGATTAAGATTATAATTATATTCATTATTACACATTATTTATAGAATACAAATCCATTATCAACGTCCTAAATCTACAATCCAGAAAAACTGCACAAGTAGAAAATCAAATTCAAAAGAAAAACGTTTAGAATATTCAATGAACATAAAATAAGGTATAAAAAATAATTAAATTGAGTGAAACTAACTTTAAATTCTATCATTTGTTCACATAATGAAATGTAAAATATGTGTGGATCATTGTTTCATTGGGAGAACAAAATGTAACTCTTAAGAGAGTTAAAACAGTAAATGTATCAATATGCATTTGAGTGTAGATTTGGAGAAAAGTGTCAAGAATTGCAAAATTCTTCAGATTCATAATCAAAATAAATAGTAATTAAAAAAGTTTAGTATGATAGAACTTCAGAATTATGAAAAATTTTGAATTTCAGCTTTAACCTATCCCATGTCAAAATTTTTCTCCGTTGTGTGTGGCCGCCATGTTGAATTTTTGTCGATGTTAAACCTAACAAAAAAATTTGATTTTTTAAATAATAATTGTGACTACTGTATCGTTAAAAATTATTTTGCACAAACAAAATAAATATATTGAAAAATATAAAAACAAAACAAATTATATTTTGAAAGTTTGTTTTAATATAAAAATTATGATGCATAGTGACATCCAGTATCAAAAATGTTCTGATGCAGAGACGAATATAATTGAGATTGCCACAGCAGGTCAAATGAGGTCAAGACAAAAATATTCAGGAACAACACGAGACAGGTTAATATATTTTTAATAAATAAGAAACAATGAAATACATTACAGTTGAAATTTTTCATAATTCTCAAGTTCTGTCACATTGAACAGTCATTAACTCATATACAGTAGAGCCTCGAAAACTCGGCCTAATGTGGCCCGAAGGGTGGCCGAGTTTGTGAAAATGCCGGGTTATCGGGAATGGGGTTAAAAAAATAAGTATGAGTGTTTCCTCAGAAAACACTGTACTATACTTATATGTATTGTTTACTTGAGAATACAACAGAGAATAAACTGCCCAAATACCCTTAAACAAAGGAAAAGTACGTCCTTTATGAAGGCATAGAGCCTTTACTACATGAAAATGAAAATTAATGAATACACTGTGTACAGTAATTTACCTGATAAGACAGACCTTAGAAAAATACTTTATGAGAGCTTTTATACTTTTATAAAGCTGTCTATAATGAAAATTAATTAACTAAGGATTTTTTTGCCCTGCTAGGGTGTGGCCGAGTTATCCGGAGTGCTGGGTTATCGAGTGCCGAGTTTTCGAGAGTCTACTGTATTATTATTTTCATTTTCTAGTCATAAAATTTTTCAAAAATTATGTTATAAGCATGAATTGCACATAATTTCAAAAATCATTTAAAAATTGAATTCTAATATTTGTCCCTGATAAAATAAAATCTAATGTACTATGTTAAAAATCATAATTACCGTTAATAGGCGTTCTAGTTCAAATAATGGATGCGATTGTTTTTCAGATGAATTATTATTTGTGTTTTGCTCAAATTTAAACCAGTCAAGAATTTTGCGTAACTCTGATGTTGAAAGAACCAAAGTTCGAGCAGGAACCGGTTGAGATGTTTCTTCATATCCATGAACCATAAGTCTTAAAAATTCTAAAGTTGTTGACAAAGTTGATAAACAATCTGAGCTATCTTTGCTGAAGGTGGTACTCAAACGTGCAAATAAAGATCGAAGTGTTGATGGATGTTGAATTAAAGCTCTAAAAAAATAAATAAATACAGTAAATAAATTACACATATTTACAATCACATTATAAAAATTTGTAATATTCTGCTTACTGTTTCACATAGAAAAATCCAAAATCATGTTCTGTGAGCATAACTAATGTTCTTAATGATGGCAAAACTGATGCAAACGTATGCTGATGATTGCCAATATGTTGTATCAATGCTCCACTAATTTCAGATATATGTTCCTTAGGTGGAAGAGAATTTGCCAACTATCCAAACACAATTTTAAAATTAAATAACATCAATTTTTTGAGAAAATTATTAAAAAACAAAGTAATAGAAACAGACCACTTCACTAACAGAAGCACCTCCTTCCAATGTAACAAAACCTATATCTGGATCACAAAGTGATTGAAGTATTGACTAGAATAATAAAAATAAATAAATAAATTCATAATAATTTTACAAAGTTTTTTTTAATTAAGTATCAATGTCATTTTACCACAATGCATTCTTGAGAATTTATATGAGATTGCTTGCTCGATACAAAATTTAAATGATCGAGAATCATGTTCAAAATTTCTGAATACTTTTCATCTGTCTTGACACTAAAAAATTTTAGAAATTTATCTATCTATAAATAGGATAAAAGTTTCTATATTATTCAAACACTTGAAAAATAACAATATCACAAGCTACAAGCTAATAGCAAGGTTGTGGCCAAAGTTTTCAATGTGAAAACGTGTACATCGGATGCTTAGTGCCACCTTCCTGTAAGCTTAGAAGTTTTGACAATGGCATTTGAAATGTCGAGCATGATTTCACTGATGTTCTGCAACCTTGCTATTTTTTGTATTCCTGTGAACTTCAGCATCCTTTTTATTTCTTATAACAATGACTATAAATATCAATAATTTCATGATTTTGTACTGTGTATTTAAAGGGACCAAATGGCAATAATCTGCCAATCAGTTACTTTATTATTTTATTTTATTTATTTTTAAATTTTTGCTTTTAAGAAGTATCTAATCTTAATTATGTTATTAATATTAAGATTAATTTTAACCAAATTTATTAACTTTTGCTTATGACAAAAATAAACATAATAAATGGTATTAATCTGTTTTTGTTCAAATTTGTTGTTAATAACTACTTAAAAAATTTATCAAAAAAATAAATAAATAAATAAATTGCAATAATGTGATACAAATGATAGCTAAATTGAATTGCACTTTTCATATAACATTCAAAATAATTATTATATAATAAAGAGGAAGAATTCTAAACTTTATTAAATATTGTATTGTCACAGAACTTGACTATAAAAAAGTTAATGAATTTTCCAAATTTAAAACTGTACTTAAATAAGAAAATTTGAATCTAAAGCAATTGATATTTTGATTACATTTGATATGATGAATATAATATTACAATAACAACAAAATTTCTATATGAAAGCTGAAAGTTCAAAACAAATATTTTAGGCCTTTATAGTTTTTTAATAAATATTATTTACCTTCCTCTTAAAATATTTATTAATGGAATTTTGAATGGTGCATGTGATACCAAGTATGCAATTAAATTCAAAATGCGAGCAATAGCTGTTGAACATGGTTTTACTTCCCACTGCAATGACATTCCCTGGGCTTCAGCTTTTTCCTCTGTAATCATATTTGGAACAAAACTATCCAATAAAGCATCCAAAACAGCTCTGAAAAATTAGATTAAAAAAGTTTATCAGATTTTTTAAAATTTAAAATTTAAGTTAAAGTGACATAATTACCTAACAACCACCACTGCTGTCGGTGTAGCAAGATCAGACAACTGAACACAAACTCTTCGTAGTAATTGTTGCAAAGGATGACAACTAGAAGCTAAAAATAAAATTGAACATTCAGTGTTAATAATACTTCAGTTAAAGCAATCAAATATAAATATAAAAATAAATTTAACAGCTCTTTAGAAACTTCACTAAGATAATTATAAGTAAAAATATCTATGTAATATACGATATAAATTATATATTTTTAAAACAAAATTATTCTGTATTCTGCATATGATGATTCTTATATTTAAACATACTCTAATTAGAACTGACAAAATAAATGTCAACTTATGAAGTTCCTCCATAATAATTGTAAAAAGACACTTTACACCAATAATCATATAAAATAATTAACACAACAGTATAGTGACATTAAAATCATGATTTCTTCCAAATGATTAATAAACTTTTAACTAACAAATTGTGAAAAATATCCATATGAATGATTTTCTATATTTTCATTGTGCCAAAAAACTCACAATAGCATTAGAACCATTTATTCAAAAATTCACTGTGTGTGTCAGCTTACATCCTCATCAGACTAACAAAAAACAAGTAAAATGGCAAAACCGTATTTGGGACAAGACTATATCTTGGAGACAGAATCACTTTGATGCTCAAGGCAGGTCTCATTCTCATTCTCCTATCTTCTTTGATATTGCTGCTTTTGGGCGCGATCGTTCAAACTTTANTTTTATAAACATCCATAAATCAAAAGCAATTTATAGTTAAAGGCAAACACACTGCCAAATTAATTAGTATTTAATTAATTGTAATTAATTATATACTAATTATAATTGTAATATTATACCACAATAAATTTTGCAGTTTGTTTGGCTTTATTATCATTATCATTATTTACTCTCTCTGTAAGTATATATATTAAACAAAAATTCTTAATAAGTTTTTATTTACTGAACACATACCTAGTTTTCTTTTTATTTTTAACTTCAGTGTCTGTTTCAGAGACAGAAAGACAAAGTTTTTCTAAATCGCTCTTCAAGTCAAAGTCTGGCCAATACTTCTCTGATAATGCTATTAAATCCATTGGTATCTGAAAATAAATAATGTGAAATGTTATAAAGATAAAAAATTTTTCAAATATATTTATAAATGAAAATTAACCTGTTCAACTTCTTGATCAGTTTCTTCAGCACCTGGAACTGCTAGCCAATATGAAGGACTTAAACGTTCTTCATCAATTTCACCTACTATATAAACAGGACGGACAGCAAACTGGGCTGATTGGCTTTCTGCTGGAGGTAATGTTGGCTCCAAAATTTCTAAAATTACATAATAAATTTAATAAGATAGAAATATATATATTTTAAAAAGAAACCAATAATAATTATTCTTTTTTCACCTTTTTCAACTTTATCTTCTTCTGGATTACTCAGTAGTTGTATAAAACCACTGACACTTTCCAAAAGACTTTCTAATGCTTCTTCATCTGTTGAACATTCCTAAAATTTATTTAAATCCATTGTCTTTATCTGATATAATTTTATCACCATAATTGAATGTTTTTGATAATAAATAACTGTTTTATATACTGGTACATTTTAAAATCATAATTACAATTTTCAAATTAAAAGAACATTCAAACTTAAAGGTAATGGAATCAAGTTTTGGCCAGAAGAATGTAATTCTTGTTTGCTAAACTGTAGATTTTATCTTATAATAAGTATAAGTATTTTTAAAAATTACCTTCAATGAAGATTTATTATTTATTAAACAAGCTTATAAGTTACAGTAAATTTTGGAAATACCCATCAAAAATAAAACAAAAGTGATATAAAGATGACTGGTAAAACAAATAAATGCAATTTTGATTGTTAATTCATCTTAACATGTATATCATAATCTTGTATTATTTTTTAATATTTTATTGAAAAACAATATTAAATTAGAATTTACACTAACCAAAAAAATTAAAATTTTAAAAGGAATTATTTCATTAACTAATTTAATAAATTTATTGTTTAGTTTTCATCAAAATATTCAATCTTCTCTATAATATATGTATCTATTAAAATCATGGATAAATCAATACATAGATTTAGCATTAGCTAATTATTGCCAAACAATCTACCAGATTAGATAATCCAGCAGATCAGGCTATATTAAAACTAATAACTAATTAGATATAAATCAATTTGGCTAGAAATAGACAGTTAAGCTGCCATCTCTTAAAAAATTTAATAATTACAATTAAATTAAATTAATTTTAAATTTAGAATATCCAGAAAAAAATCAGTCTTAAGTGGGACTCAAACTTGCAACTTCTGCTTACTGTGCAGATACATTGCCAGTTCTGCTACCCAAACCTCCATCTGATCTTCGCTTCCACAACTATTAATTAATTTAGATATAACCATTCTGGTCACATATGGCACTGACTGGGGACAGCTTAGTATCCATGGCCTCTATGGCTCTCAGCCAACTTACAGTTTAAGCTTGTTGTGTACTGTATATATACTACCTGACATTTTTATATCAGGGTTAAAGCATAAGTTGGCTGACAGCCACAGAAGGCCATGGGTGCTAAGCCACATATAAATGGCACTGTAAGTGACTGGTATAGTTAT